TTTGTGAAGAGCGAACTCGACACTTAGATTTCACCAAAGTAAATTCAGTTTTCTAAGAGTTGGAACTCAGAAAAATATCAGAGGTAAAATCTATTTTAGTGAAGATGGAACTCGACACTTAGATTTCACCGAAGTAAATTTACTGTTCAGAAGGTTGAATACTCAGAAAAATCTCCGAGAAATTGCTGGGAAATCATCTCGCAAAGAGGCAGTTTGAATTGGTGGCACTTTCTTGTTGTCACCGAGGTTTGGATGTTTTCGAGAGAAAATCTCATTCTTTCGTCGTCACAACTTCGTACTTGAAAGACAAGAAACTTTATGTCCCCAAAGACGGCGCCAAATGTTGAACCCGAACCCCCCAGGGTTGGTAACATCATGTAAAAGATGGGACAAAGTTCTCATAAGACAAGCACAAAGATGGGTTGAATAGATCGTATAAACTTGTGGAGAAAATAATATAGATTTTGGTATAGCTGGACTCGAGAGACGAGCTGCCTACGTACCCGAAGCGGGATCAAGCCAAAACGTAGTTCGATTACAACAAAGAGAATGTATTTCGTCATTATTAGGAATGACATTGTTTGTGTCTAAATAATGGTGAGAAATGTAGAAGATGAATCTTGTGTAGAAGAATATGAGTCCCTTTCTTGGAGTCTTCACTTCTCTTTTATAGCCTCTTCCTTCCTTCTAGGGTGTCTTTACTTGGCCATTAAATTCAGAATTAACTCCAAAAAATAACTCCAATTTTTGGCAATTAACTCCTAATCAAGAATGACAAACTTTATTCCTTTGACAATGGCAATTAATTCATGAATTTAATCACAAATTAATGTCAAGGTTTGACCACCCCCTTTTGCAAGATAAGGCTCCTTGGATTTTGTAAAGTGATGGTTCTCCAATATGTAAAATGGACCCCTTGCGGGATCCGGTACCAACACAGGTGGTGGTTGCTGCTGTGGATATCCTCCCTGAAACTGCTGCTTGGGAACAAACCCCTGACCTTGGTTGTATGGAACAAACGGTTTGGGTTGGCTCTGTTGCTGCTGCTGCGGAGGGTAGACTTGTGGGTTGGCTACGTTTTGGCTTCTGTATGACAGATTCGGGTTGTTTGGCCGGTAGTTGTTGTATCCCTTATTGTAGCCACCTTGGTTCTGCATATAACTGACTTCTTCTGATTGGAGAGTCTCCCCATCTTGGACTTGGAACGTCTCATCTTCACAGAGAAAATGGACTTGCTTCTGTTGCATTAGGAGTAGCTTGTCCAGCTTGTCATTCATGGCTTTCATGTCCCTTCGATGCTTCTCTTCTAAGTCTGAACTTCCTCTGATGGCTCTGTCATAATCTTCATTGTAGTTGCCATCAGACTGAGCTAAGTTCTCTACCAGCTCCCATCCTTCTTCAACTTCCTTGTTCAGGAAATTCCCATTGGATGCTGTATCCAAGAGCATCCTGATCTTAGGGAGAACGCCTCTGTAGAGAGTACTTAGGAGTGATGCTTTTGAGAAACCATGGTGAGGATATTGCGTCTGATATCCCTTGAAGCACTCCCATGCTTCACAGATGTCTCAGCATTCTTCTGGGTGAAGCCGGAAATCTCATTCCGGAGTCTAGCAGTCCTAGAGTTTGAGAAGAATTTAGCCAGGAAGGTTTTCTTGCAATCAGTCCAGGAGGTGATGGAGCCTTGAGGAAGCGACTTTTCCCACTGATGGACTTTGTCTCCAAGAGAGAATGGAAACAATCTGAGCTTGAAGCCATCCTCACTGACTTCATTGATTTTCGTTAGGCTGCAGAGCCTATCAAACTCGTCCAGGTGATCGAGTGGATCCTCCATGGGGAGGCCGTGAAACTTGTTGTTCTGAACCATAGCAATGAGACCACTCTTGATCTCAAAGTTGTTGTTCTGCACTGGCAGAGGCACAATGCCATTACGCTGATTTTGGTTGCATGGTGCATCGCCTGCACCAATGTATGTTGGTAGCTCTGGGTTCTGGTCGTCAGCCATAACGTCTGTGTTTAACTGCTCCCTTAACTCACGAGCAATACGGTCGATGTTCTCGTTGAAAAGCAGGTTCTGATGTCCTTTTGATCGAGTTTGCATAAACCAACTATCAACCAGTGAAGCTGGTGATTGTCAGTACCTGGATCAAAACAGGCAAACAGAAAAAGCACAGAATTAGTAACTTGAAATAAGAAACGAAAAAGAACTTGATCTTAAATATTCTGAAATCTCAAATATAGCAAACAAACACCCAAATGGCAACGGCGCCAAATTGATAATAGGTTTTTAAGTCAATTATCCTAAAACACTATCGTGTCGTTGTAGTATTTTAGGTGTCAATCCAATCAGGTGTGATGCAAACAGATGAGATGTGATCAAAAGTCACTAAGTCAACCAAGCAATTGCAGGTTTTGGTGTTTCAAACAGTCCTAAGTGATAATGCAGAAAACAGAAAAATTGTAGAATTACAGAAATCACTCGACCACAACTGGTTGATGCCAAGAGCAGGATGTGGTCGAGTGACTGGTCGAGTAACAGGCAGAAACTGCAACAAAAGCACTATACCACACAGTCTGCTGCCAGACACTGGATGTGGTCGAGTAAATGAGTGAAAACAGGTAAGAAATGTGAAAACTAAGTAACAGGCAATGAGAACGATTTATCAATAGCAATAAAAACAGAGAAATCAAATAGACGAGAAATTCCTAAGGATGAGGTAATCGAAATGAGTGGTCTCCTTAGCCTATTCAGATGGTTAACAAAGCGCAATCAAGCTATCCCTAGACAACAGGTTCAACAACAAATTTATTCACTCCCGTGCAACAAATCCTCAAGCAAAGCTAGCCCAGACTAATTCCCATTAACAGAATCTAACTATGCAGGCAATACGATTGGGAAAAATGTCGGAAAATGCGCGAACTTTCAAATTTGGGACAAAAAAACATGAAATTTCAAAATGTCATTTAAATCATAAAGTTTAGTTTGACTTTTTATAAAATGGTTAAGTTTTCGTTGACTTGGCAATTTCGGGCATGTCGTTAAATTTCCGTTAACGAGACGTTGACGGGGTTAACTTTCCGTTAGAAATCTCCGTTGAATCGAAACGACGTCCGTTTCAAAACAACAAAACGACGTCATTTCACTGGAAAATAAAATGAATCAACTGCGTCTGTGAAGAATCGCACTTTCCGTCGTTTCGATTCAACGGAGATTTCTAACGGAAAGTTAACCCCGTCATCGTCTCGTTAACGGAAATTTAACGACATGTCCGAAATGGCCAGGTCAACGAAAACTTAACCATTTAATCAAAAGTCAAACTAAACTTTATGATTTAAATGACATTTCGAAAGTTCATGCTTTTTTTGTCCCAAATTTGAAAGTTCGCGCATTTTCCGACATTTCTCCCCAATACGATTCAACCTATTACAGTCAATAAATGCTCTAAACGGCCAATCCCTTGGGATAGAGACGCATATCTCTGGAACTAGTGGATCAAGCATTCCATCGAACACCTTCTGGGTGCGGGAATGCTTTGGATCGAGTTCCAGAGTTGATCAGAAAGAAACAAGCAATAAACTCAACTAGTCCAGAAGGGATTCAATCAATTCTAAAGCTTAACCATCTAAAAGACTACAGATTCCACAACCATTCTATCCCATCCTTAAGAACTCTATGTCACTACTCAGACAACATGCTCAAAAACATAATCGCGAATAAACAAGAAGATTGCATAAGTAAAGAGATTGAGGGTAGAAAAACAAAGTGATAGAACCAATCATACGTGAAATCTGAATAACTTGGAAAAATCTCGAATTACAAGTTGTAGAAGCAAAGCGGCGATGTGATAGAGTAACTAGGTTAAACTGCAATAAAAACTTGAAGCAAAACTAAGTAAAAACGTAGATGTTTCGGGACAAACCCTCCAAGACTTATTTATACAAAGCGAAACTAAAACCACAGAAGATGGATCGGGAATCCACTCAATCGACCCGTAGAATGGTAATGGGCCGAAGCTGGGGCTTTGTGGTCGAGTGAAATTCCAGACGGCTTCCCAAACACTTCTTCTTCTCCTCTTCTCTTCCTTATGCTCAGCTTGTCTGGTTGAGTGCGGATTTGAGAAGACTCTGAAGACGTGATCGAGTGAATGGCAAAGTGATGTGGTCGAGTGCTTTAGGAAGATGATGGCTGCTGTCACTCGACCACATGGTAGAGTAGTGTGATCGAGTGATTGAGGCGGATGGTGGTTGGTGCCACTCGACCACGGGGTCGAGTGGTATGGTTGAGTACTGAAGGGGTCGAGTGAAGCAAGAAGATGGTGGCTGCTTTCACTCGACCACATGGTCGTAAGCTTTGCAGAAGGTGCTCGACCATGTGGTCCAGTATGCTCTGCTGACCCCGGCTCGCTTCTTCCAATTTGATCGCGAACAGCTCTAAATCACCTGAAAACAACTAAAAAATGTAGAATGTATGCAAACCTATCCTAATCATGCAAAGTATGCAAGAATGATGAAGAATGATATAAAACAGTGATGAATGTTATGAAACTAGACTCAAAACAATGATGAATGAATGAAGAAAACATGCAAATTATAGACACATCATCAGGTTTTAACCATGAAGATCCACAACATCGCTACAAAAGCAAAAAAAAAGCCTTTGTTTCCAGAAAAAAAAAACCAAGTGTTTCTTCCGCAACCATAGCTCGGAAATTCTCTCAGTCAAGTGATTTGCTTGCTGCAAGAAGAAGAGAAGAAGGTTTTGAAGGTTTTGAGATCATCCCGAGTGAATCAAGCGAAGAAACAGAGGAATTTGAGCAGCAAAATGAACCTATGTACCAAATGAGCCATTCAAGCCAAGAAACAGAGGAGAGAGCCGCTTGAGCAGTTCACTCGACTACCTAGGTCGAGCAGCCGGTTTGTGGTTACAGAGGAAGAATCAATGCTCGAGGAAGAAGCTGAAACAGATACTCGGGCGCCAGTCTGAGCAGTTAGGTCGAGTAGGCCAAAGAGAGGAAGTTCAAGTCAGTATTCAAGAGACAGAGCAGAGATCTCTCGAGGAAAGCAACCTGTGAGGGAACCAATGCAGTTGGTTGATGAGGATATTGAATATGGGCCTAAGATAGCTCCAGCTGCAAGGGTTGCTAGACCGGTGAAGAAAGGAAATAAAGCAAAAGATGATGAAAAAGTCCTTACCTGCCATGACTACCATGCTCTGTTTTCGCAACACGAGTTTCTGGGGACGAAGTATCCTCACTGGAAGACGATGGAAGATCTCGGGATTTCTGAAGATGTCGAGTATCTCCTCAGATAATGAAATCTCCATACGCACATGTTCAGACCAATGGAGAGTTTCAAAGAAGAGACGATTCAGTTTCTTTCATGAATTTCTCTTCTTTCAAACTCTCCATTGGTCTGAACATGTGCGTATGGAGATTGCATTGTCAAAGGAGATACTCGACATCTTCAGAAATCCCGAGGTCTTCCATCGTCTTCCGGTGAGGATACCTCGTCCCCAGAAACTCGTGTTGCGAGAACCGAGCATGGTAGTCATGGCGGGTAAGGACATCTTCATCATCTTTCGCTTTCTTTCATTTCTACACCGGTCTAGCAACCCTTGCAGCCGGATCTATCTTAGGCTCATATTCAATATCCTCATCAACCAACTGCATTGGTTCCCTCACATGTCGCTTTCCTCGAGAGATCTTTGCTCTGTCTCTTGAATACTGACTTGAACTTCCTCTCTTTGGCCTACTTGACCTAACTGCTCGGACTGGCGCCCGAGTATCTATTTCAGCTTTTTCCTCGAGAATTGCTTCTTCCTCGAGCATTGCTTCTTCTTCTATAACCACAAACCGGCTGCTCGACCTAGGTGGTCGAGTGAACTGCTCAAGCGGCTCAATCTTCTCTGTTTCTTGGCTTGAATGGCTCATTCGGTACATAGGTTCATCTTGCTACTCAAATTCCTCTGTTTCTTCGCTTGATTCACTCGGGATAATCTCAAAACCTTCAAAACCTTCTTCTCTTCTTCTTGCAGCAAGCAGATCACTTGATTGAGAGAATTTCCGAGCTATGGTTGCGGAAGAAACACGTGGTTGTTTTCTTTCTGGAAACAAAGCCTTTCTTTTGACTTTTGTAGCGATCCTGTTGATGTTAACGGTTAAAACCTGAAAGGAATCAACTGAAAACCAAAGATTAGTATGTTAGTGGCCAAAACAAAGAAGCAACAATTCATTCTTGAGCAAATTAAACCACACTTGACCTAAAACTATTCTAGTACTCGAGTTCAAAGACAAAGAACAGAACATCGGATTATACTCGACCTATACTCGGATTATACTCGAGCTATACTCGAGCAAGAACTATAGTAATGCACAAAATCCGTTTCTCTCAAGCAAGCACAAGAAACACTCGAACTAAAGCAAAGATACTCGATTAAAACTCATAAATAACATCCTTAATTCTTTTCAAACCGATTAAAGCACTTGAAATAAGTGGAGAAAGCAAAAATTGTTGAGAATAGAGTGGAAATCGAGTTTGAGAGAAAGCAAACCGTTTATGCTCGTGTAGCTCGAGAAAACGAGAGGCACTCGAACGGGGACCGATTCTACTCAAACAGAACCCGAGTGAAGCTCACACACGAACCAATACCACTCGAACAGAAATCGTTTCCACTCGAACAGACCGGTTGAAGTTCGAGCACGAAGCTTCCTTACTCGAACACGGACCGATTAAAGCTCGATATGGTGAAGATGGAGAAACTATGCTCGAGTTGCTCTTGAGAATTTAGGTCGAGTGCGAGTAAATGTGGAGAGTAAACGAGTGTTTGTAGAGAGAAAACGAATGATAAGATGAGGAGAGTGTAAAGGAGTGGATTCTCGAGTTTGAGATAGTTCTTGAGAGAGATGAAAAGATAAGGTGAGTTTATGTGGTGAGAATGAGAGTGAGAGAGTTGATGTCGAGTGTGGAGAGAATAAAGGGAAGGGATATAATTTTGGTGTTTTTAAAATGTGTGGAGGAGTAGAAAGGAGAGAATCTTAAGTGTGAGAGAGTTTTTAAGAGGATAGGGTGTTGTATCTTGAGTTTGAAATCGAGTGGTGGAGAGATGATGGGAGAGATTTCGAAATTGAGAGGATAAGGTGGGGTTTTTAGTCCAGATTTATTTTATTGCAAATTCATCATATAATAATCAAATTTTTAAAATATGGAATATCTATTAAAGCTATACATGTGAATTTATATCATTATGTATGAATATATGTTTATGGATATAAACATATAGACAGCAGACTAACACACTCAAATTTTGTAATCTTCTAAATATCATGGAGAACATAGGTAAATGAAACTATAAATATATTCAATCTCATAAGCTAAAACTTTATGTTGAAGAAGACAACAAATATTTTTATACAGAAACTTCTTAATTCGAAATATTGATTTTGAATATAATTTATTTATAGTTTTTTTTTTTTGCTGAAATTGGAAAATAATTTTTTTTAAGAAGTTATTTTATTTTCAGATTATAAATAATCACAACCAAGAAGTTTTCATCTCTTTCATTACTTTTATTGATGGTTGTTGCTTTCGTGCTTTTGCCCATGATATCAGGTAAACCATTTGTTTGTTAAGTACCAGATTGTCTTAGTACAAACAATTTTTTTTTCTAAGTTCAAGATGATGTCTTTTAATTGCTGAGTCAAAGTTAGTAGACGAAAACTATTTGCACTATTCGTCATTAATATGCTAAATATTAATTTTTTTTATATGTACATTAACATAACAGGAAGAACTCGTCACCCATGTCAAGATTGGAGATTTGGTTGTAGTAGTAGAGTTGCTTGCAATGCAAAATGTCAATGCTAGGTTACATCAAAGGAGGTGACTGTGTAACATTTGCTCTTCTTGTTTGTTGTTGCAAAATCAATTTAGGATTTAAAGATGATTCACCTATTACTAGTCCAATCCTTACGAATTAATCGTTCAATTAATATGTTTTTAAATTATTAAAATAAAAATAATATATTCAAATAGAACTTGTTCATATATCACCATAATTACATTGCTATATTAATTCTATTAAGATTTTATTTGATAATATTTGTATCGCCCAAGTTTCAGCTTTCCGCCCGAACATCATACTCCTATTGAATGACCCTATAAATCGATTTTCATGACCTGACTTAGAACCGCCATTTCCATTTTCATGAGTGTTACTTGTATGTAGATGATTACATCGATCATTATAATTGATCAATTATATAGTCACCGGCATATAAAGATTTTTGAATCATCTATAACAATGTAGTTTTCATGTATAATTTGTTACTAATTTTAAAATGAGAAAGTAAGACATAATTAAGAGCAGTCACAAAACGATTGTCTCATATGAAATTGATGCGAAACAATAAGAGATAGTTAGAGTATGAAAACGAGCCGACATAATGAAACCAAATAATTTTGGTATACAACTAATGATTTTATATTTTTATCTCTTTTGACAAGTGTATAATCATTATGGGTGACATTTAGAAGAAATAGTGGTAATAGAAACATACTCCCTCTCCCTCTGTGTCAAAAAGAATGATTTTCTAAGATTTTTACCAAGATATAGAAAATAAAAAATGATGTATTATGATTAATTAATTTTGTGTTATAAATAATGTAGCATTGCTTTTTACTCCACTTAGGAGTATCTTTTTCCAACAATTGTAACTACACCACATATTAAATTCCTCATTTTTGAGGTCTTTTTCACATTTCCTCTACAAATAAAATCACATACTTACATTTACAAATTTAGTTATAGGAGTAGCTTTAAATTTTGTTAAGAAATTCAAATTTAGTGTTGAATATACGTTTCTCAAAAACGAAAATTTTAGAATAAAGCCAAACCCAATATAACTAAGTTCTATTGATCTTCTAAATATATATTAACATAGATTTATACTATTTACTTAAAATTATATATATATATATATATATATATATATATTTTTTTTTTTGTCAACCACACATTAATTAATAAATAACTCCTTGATTGGTTGCCCAATTAGGAGGAGAAAAGTTTACAAAAGTAACTTCAGAAAATAAAAGTCTAGAAGAACGGGCTAAACAGTCCGCTTGAACATTACATAAACAAAAATAAGAGAAAGCGAGAAGAAAGGGAAAGAGACACGGAGGAAACAAAACTCGTCTAGCAGATTGGAGAAAGCAGGCCATTCATCCGGTGACTATATCATCTAGACTAACTCTGAGCAGTCTGATTCAAACACCTGACAATCGATCCCTCTTGAAAGGATATTCTTCATACCCCAAATTAAAGCTTTCATCTCCGATTGAAGAGGGGAGGGACACCTCCGAAGGCACTTTGCACCGAGCAGTATCGTTTGATCATTTCCTTGAAAACACCACCATCCTATACCCAATGTTGGATCTCAATTTTTCCAAGAGCCATCAATCCGACATCTTATAGATTGAACCGGTCGTTCCAAAGTTTCCGTAATAGAACTAGTTTCGATCGGATCCAACTGAGCTTCTTCCCACATTAATTTTTCACTCAAAGCATGATTTGAAATATCTCTGGGTTCAGATTGTAATCCCTTGAAAACCTTTTTATTCCTATCTTTCCAGATGAACCACAAAATCCAAGCATAACTGAAGGTGACAGTATTTAGCCAGCTTCTCGTATTCTAAAGAAACCACCACTTCATCACCTATGTCAAAGGGCACCACCATTTGAAACACAAGAGGATTAAAACCATTTACTGTGACATAGATACTACCTGAATCCACATCAAGCTCACGAATTATACCTACTGTTTTTCCTATCGCCTTTAGTGTTGCTTCTTCCCACAAGTGCATTGGTAAATCAGAGACTTTAACCCAAAAATTAATTGCTGACGGATAAGTAGCGGAGATTATAGGCTCCCACTTAACCAAAGAAACCATCTAGCCATCAAAATGACAAGGGACGTTCTGCAAAACGCCTTGCATATCCTCTTCAGACTGAAAATTAAACTGGAAAATTCCTTTTTCTAAATCTGCCCCCACCACCTTTTCTTCCATCTTCCAAATTTTTGGCATGTTTGCCACCAGAGAATCCATCCTCTGGATGCTCGGGTTCATCAACCTACCAATCAAGGTAAGGGAGAATTGTTGGATCCTTTGTGACAACATAGACCCAGAAATCTTCACAACCTCAGTGCGCACCATTGCGGCCTTACCTTTGTTCAAAGCTAACTGAGCCATTAGAATAAACCATGAACGCAGCCTTACAACCTCTTGAAACTGAAAGAGAATAAAACGAATTACTGTAAGTATTTGTATTTCTGCTACCTTAACTTGAGAAAGCACAATGAGAGACTCGTGAATCCTAGTAGTCTTTTTATATAGACTCCACCAGAAATAATCCCTTGAATCTCCGTATATCAAACACAATAAAAGCCAGATCGACCCAATCTCCTTAATTCCCATGAAAGATAACACGTTGTAATATTTCATACTTATTAGAAACAAAGAAACTTGGAAACGTTATTGAGAAGAATCCTTAATCTTACCTTTTCTAAAGATAAAGAATATTCGGATCCAAAATCTCAGATCTTTCATATCCCTCCATTTGAATTCCTTAAGGCCCAGATCACTTACTTATTTACCCAATCCAGCAGATCTAATTTGATTGACCTTTACCCCAAGCAATCGAAAACAGATCCCCCGATATTTGTCTTCCACAAGACAGCGAATCCAATACCTATCCCAAAAAAATCGATATCCTAATTTCCATCTCATCCAATCAAAAGCTACTATCACGCTTGAGATCCGATGAAATCGACCAAAAATGAAACCAAAGTTCCTTCGCAGCCATCCTCGACCTTAACCAAACCAGACCAAAAAAGCAACCCCGAACCTTTCCCAATTGATTACCCAGATCGAAAACCACAAGAAAAGAAGGAGAATCTGATTACCCATCTCACAACCTAGACGTCGTCGCCGTCGCACTCATCATTAATCAAAGCTTTTTAGAGGTCTATTTTGTGACAAAAATCTTCCATCCTTCCCATCTAACATGTACACCAAAAAAATCGAACCTAGCGAAGAACCAAACCAGACGAACAAAACAATAATGAAAGAGATTTTTTTTTTTGTTTTAAATAAAATTCCACCAAGAGAATTTATTTCATTGAAAAATAGTTAAACGGTTCCATTTCATGAAGAACAAGAAGATGATCCTCATATGAATATCAATAATTTTATCATTTATTTATTTTGATTTGAATTTTATATATTGTGTTTTTCAATTTACATTTTGTAAAATACTCATTGTATTAGTAATTTGATGGAGTTATTTTATTTTCAAACATCTTAGAGTAATTCTCTTTCTGAATTTGTATTTGTATACGTTGAATTTTCACCATCATGTATTTAACAGAACATGCAATTTTAGATTTTATTGCCTCAACCTAATATATCCATTAGTATGTCTTTATTTTATTGTTATGAACATGAATTTTTGTTTCACTTAATAGGTGTATTTTATTTATTTAATTAATATATTTGATAGAAAGAAGTATTGAGATATCATAAGATCCCCTAGAAGCTACGGTTTACAAAAAAGAAATGACAGATAGTAAAATATTAGAGATTTATCACGCTTTGTTGGAAATAAATTTTAACTGAAACGTAAAGAACACCACTACAACAGAAGAGTCTAATTTGTTATCTGTACCTTTACACACGGTTCAATGAATTTGGCGTCGAGTCAAAATATTCCTAACGGCGAAATTGTTGTTGTATCTCATAAGAAAAAGGGTAATTATGGTTCAAAGAAAACTTAAATTGACCTTGCTCGAGTTGTTGATATTCCACTCCAACGTCGTAAAACTCTAAGGTCATTGGCAGCTTCTTTGAATATGAGTCATGCGACGTTGTCTCGATATGTTAAAGACAGGCTCATTAAACGTCATTCAAATGCTATCAAGCCAATTTTACGGGATAAAAATATGAGAGCTCTCGACTTGCATTGCCTAATCACCCGAAGTTTGTTGATATGTACAATATCGTACATATCGATGAAAAATAGTTTTATATGACAAAAAGAAAGAGACTTCTTATTTTTTTTCCGCTGAAGAATAGCCGTATCATACATATCAGTGTAAAATTATTGAAAAAATGTTTTTAGCTGTCATGGCTTGTCTAAGCTTTGATGGAGAAGGAAATGAGGTATTTTCTAGAAAAATAGGAGTGTTTTCATCTGTCCCAATGAAACCAACCAGGTAAGAGACGAAGTAGAAACCGAGAGGCAAGAATCTTGGAGTTAAAGCCGATGACTTCCATCAAACGAGAATTTGTCCCAATACTCTAAAAAGTTCTCCCGAGAATTTGTGAAAGATGGCCACAAAAATATTTGAGAAAACCTATTTTTATTCAAAAAGATAATGCAAGAACACACGTTGATCCGAGAGATGAGGACTTCCGAGCAGCTGCTTCTTGCTATGGTTTTGATATTCGTTTTATGTGTCAGCCATCAAATTTCGCCGGACTTGAATATTTTAGATTTTGATTGTTAATGCCATCCAAACACTACAACACCATGTGAGTCCGAAGACGATAGAAAAAAATTTGTTTTGGGGTAAAACAATCTTTTGATGAATACCCATAGAAACGAATTAACCGAATCTTTTTGTCTTTGCAATCGTACATGCAAGAAATTATGAAATTCCGAGGGTCAAATAAGTATAAATTCCCACATTTGAAGAAGCTCATCTTGGAGAAAGAAGGTAATTTACCTTCACAAATGGGTTGTGATCCTGTTTTAGTACAAATGTAATAAGTTACTTAGCAATTTAAGTTTTTAATTATAATCTTCTAGTTGTTTTGTCATTTAATTTTTTCATATTTTTATTAAAAAAATTATTTTAATTTTATTATCATCTTATTGAAAATAAGAGAATGTACAATGAGAAATACAAAAACAAAAAAAAAGATAAATAATCTAACAGAAAATTAGGAGAAATACAAAAACTAAAAAAGCATGGGTAAATAAAACTTCAACATATCCAATACCATAGCTTTTTCAATTTCGTCGTTGGGATGAATTCTCCTTCATTTTTATATTATCATGTGACTTTTTTAAATCCAACTTCTGGGTAGTGTAAGATTTTATCATGTAAACATCCCTTGAGGACGGAGAATCATCTTTCAGGCCCTTTGACCAGAAAAAACAATTCAGCAATACCCTTCCCCGAAATTGCCTATTTATTTTATTTATTTTTTAAATAGAAAATGTGGCTAAATACCTTCATACCCTCAAAAAACCTTGAAAACTACAGACCCAACCAATGTTATCCCCACCCAACCATCACAAAACCCACATAATTCAGATTTCTCTCTCCCTTTTGAAACGGCACTTAGAAAAAACAAAGGAACGAAGGAAATCAAATCGTTTTTTTTCCCTCGTTTCATTCTCTTTTTCTTTTTCGATGGTGGAGTACAACCGTGGATAACCTGAGATTGTGTCTTCTTTGTGTAAGTCGAAATTGCTATTCAATTTCGCTGTGATTTCGTGTTGTCGATTGGCTTTTGTTTGAGTAGGTTAGAATCCGATTAGGTTAGAATCCGATTGGAGTTGTTAATCGTTTTTGGTTTTTGGTTTGAACAGGATTCGAAATGCGTACAAAAAACCCAAGCTATCGTGAAGAACCAAATCCAACAGATGTAATGGTAGAAGCACAAGAGACTCGTGGAGATGAACCCGAAGAAACCGAGTCTAATCCGCCGTCTAATCGTCAGGATTCAACGGTATGTCTAGGTTATTGATGTAAAATTCCTAAATCAGAGAGTACAACTAAGTATGACTGAGGGTTTCTTGTTCTAAAAATCGCAAATCAAAAAGTACAACTTAGTATGACTTAGTGTATCTTGATTTAAATTTCTTTAAACAGAAAGTACAACTTAGTACGACTTAGTGTATCTTGAACTATAATTAATTGAATCAAAATGTACAACCTAGTATAACTTAGTGTATGTTGATCTATTTTACAGGAACCCGAGGAAGAAATCGAAGCTATGCAACCTCTAAATATGTACTTCGGTCCCGAGGAGTATATAAAACCATTTAAGATTTCTGCGAAGTGTTATATCGCACAGACAGTGAGGCTATTAGGGACTCTTCTCAAACCCGATGAGTTGGATTGGTTCCTCTTGCACCCCCAGTTCAAGCATTTCTTCCATATGCCTAAAAACTCAAATCATAAGTTGATGGGCATGTGGATGCTCTTGCTTCGCACAGCGTGTTTAGAGAAGAAAAAAGAATGCTGGTTCATTGTTAATGGGGTCCCAATCCGCTATTCTCTCAGAGAAATGGCACTCATGTCTGGATTAAACTGTCGTGAATATCCACCTTTCATGGAAGGATTTGGGAGTTTAGAATTTGCTGGGAAGTACTTTGGGGTTGGTGCAACAGTAACATATGCAAAAGTCAAAGCGAAGCTGCTGTCAATGAAGGAACCTGGGACAGACCGCTTGAAGATGGCTGTGCTATTCTTCCTATCTAGCATAATCATAGGGAAGAAAAAAGGAGGGAAGCAAGCACCCTCTGTAGAACCTATCTTTCTTAGAGTGGTGGATGATCTTGAGGAATGTAAGACATTCCCTTGGGGTCGCTTAGCGTTTGATGAGAACATGAAAGACATCTTTCATTTGATGAACCACTTTGATGGAGTTGTGGGGGCACCATGGGTCTTTCCTAGTTTTGTAATTCCTTTGGAGGTAATTATGTTTTGAAAATTGTACATATTGGTATAACTTGCTTCATATAAGGTATAACTTGCTTCTGTTTTATGCAGTTTCTTGCGTTTGAGGCAATTCCTGTTCTGAAGAACACTTTCAGAGAAGATGTTAGTAATGTACGTGCATACCGTAGGTGTCCTCGGATGTGCAGGATGAAATATAAACCCAGCAAAATGAAAGGCTTTTCTTTGACAGAAATTTATGACTGTCTTGGTACAACTAAGGTAATTAGTATAACTTGCTTGAAATTGTACAAATCAATATAACTTGCTTCAGAATTCATCATCATCACTCTTTTTTGTATTTTACAGGAGATTCATAGTATCTTGCCTCCATCTTCTCGTGAGACACATCTTCTAGGCCGTATCATGGAAACAGATAATGGATGGAATGATGCGGATTATCCAATAGCTGATGGTTGGAGCAAGCGTTTAATTGACCAAGAGAAGTCAATATTGTTTGAGGATCTTTATAACCAAGATGTGGCTACCCGGGGAATTGAGGTAGGTGATGTGGAACTTGATAATGTGGATCCGGATGATGTGGCTACGGATGATGTGGAACATGATAATGTGGATCCGGATGATATGGAACATGATAATGTGGATCAAGATGATGTGACTCCAAATAATTTGGTTGAGCTAGGAGATATATTTATTCAACTAGAAGACCAGATGAACAAAGGGTTTAAGGAAATCATGGAGAAGATTGATGGCTTGGATGGCAAAGTAAAATCTGTGGAATCTTATGTGAATTGGGAAAGAGGTGCAGAACTTGGTTGTCCTACTTTTAATGAAGTAACAGAGGTAGAGATGGAAATGACACAGGAAGAGAAGGCTGAAAGGGAGAAGGAAAAGGCTGAGAGGGAACAAGCTGAGAAAGAGAAGGCTGAAAGGGAGATGGAGAAGGCTGAGAGGGAACAAGCTGATTTGGAAAAGGCTGAGAGAGAAGGAGAAGGCAGAGAGGGAACAAGCTGAGAAGGAAAAAGCTGAGAAGGAGAATGCAGAGAGGGAGAATGCTGAGAAGGAGAAGGCAGACAATGCTGAGAAGGAGAAGGCTGAGAAGGAGATGGCTGAGAAGGAGAAGGCAGAGAAGGAGAAGGCAGAGAAGGAGAAGGTAGAGGCTGAGAAGGAAAAGGCAGAGAAGGAGAGGGTAGAGAAGGAGAAGGCTGAGAAGGAGAAGGCTGAGAAGGAGAAGGCTGAGAAGGAGTTGGCTGAGAAGGAGATGGCTGAGAAGGAGAAGGCTGAGAAGGAGTTGGCTGAGAAGGAGAAGGCTGAGAAGGAGAGGGTAGAGAAGGAGAAGGCTGAGAAGGAGAAGGCTGGGAAGGAGTTGGCTGAGAAGGAGAAGGCAGAGAAGGAGAGGGTAGAGAAGGAGAAGGCTGAGAAGGAGAAGGCTGAGAAAGAGATGGCTGAGAAAGAGAAGGCAGAGGCTGAGAAGGCAGTGGCTGAGAAGGTGGAGGCTGAGAAGGTAGAGGGTGAGAAAGAAAAGGCTGTGAATGATCAAGAGGAGAAGGTAGAGGGTGAAAGGCAAATTTCAATTCAGTACGAGAGAAAATCGAGAAAGAGAAATGCAGAAGTACAAGGTGAAGAAGAAGTTGCAGGAGAGGCTCAACAGAATAAAAAGATGAAGATTATAGGCAAGAAAGGGAAGAAGGGGTCTACTGTGGTCATTCGGAGTCATATAATGACAAGGCAGAAGAAGGAGCAGAAGAAGGATTAAGGTTGTTTATGAGTCATATGTGAACTCTTTGTGTTGTTGGTTTTTTGTTAAGTTCGAGTCATTTTGGTTTGTCTAACTAGGTACACCTGGTTTTTATTTAAGTACAACTTGATCGGAATGTTTGATGAACTCTTTCTGTTGCTTAGTTTTATGTTGAACTTATGAGTGAACTCTTTCTATTGCTTAGTTTGATGTTGAATTTATGAGTGAACTCTTTGTGTTGGATGGTTTAGTGTTATGTTTATGAGTCATTTTGCATTGTCTAACTAGGAACACATGGTGTTTGTTTAAGTACAACTTGTCTAAGTAGATACTCGTTGAGAAAACGATTAAAGTAGGGAAATAGATTAAGGCACTACAAGAAAAATGCACATTCTTAGCTCACGATAAACGCTATTATACGTAATCAATAGCGTTTTTCTAAACGCTATTTCTGCCCCAGCTATAATAGAGTCACCCCATATAATAGCGGTTTTTGATGCGCTATTATAGATCATTATATTATAGCACTAACTGAATGCTTTAATATACTTTTTTGTAACAAATGTTTAGTGCTGTTTTATATTATATCATATCACTTTTATTTCGTTATATGAATATATTAATTTGATCTATATAATTTTTATATTTAAATACTGTTTTCGGAATTTATTTAATTAGAATTATATTATAATGTTTATATTTCATAATATATCAACAAACATAACAATAATATTACATTAACCAAAACAAATCTTACATGCCATGTCTTAAAAAAAAAAAAAACTAACATCACAAGGATAAAGACAAAATTCTATCTCTTTTCAATCTCTTTTCCCATTTCTATCCTCGTGTTGATCTTTCGCTGCACTCTCACGGTTCACTACATGTGCTATGCTTAAGGAAGATTCCACTGTCAACTTCAGCTTAATTAATCCCGTCGTCATTACCAGATGAAAAAACTATTTCCACTTTCAAAAGCCTTCTCATCTCCATGATTCTAAAGAAACAAAGTCAACCTTTACCTAAAAGCTCACTAAAGACTCAGATTTTGTGAAAAACTATAGAAGTATAGGTAATTATGCACCTTAATTTGGAAGCTGGTGCTGCATCCATCACGCTTAACCTTAGCATACTTCTCAGTCATCTCTCGTGCCTTATAATCAAAAGTTTGTCTATTGTATTTATACTCACTGCTCTGAAAAAATGCCAAAACAAAGCTTAAAGAAACAAAAGCAAAATCACAAGAAAAAAGTGTGTTGCAAGTAGACTTACTCCTTCACATATCAAGCCATCATCCGGATTCGGTTCACTAAGCAACAATCCGAAACTCGTCAAAACAGTCGAGATATTCAACGATGGTTGTCAAGCACCCTATTCATAAAAAGATTCAAGATTAAAACAAAGCTTAAACAAAAGCCAAACATTACAAGATCCATGTATTCCATCACTACAGTTGAATAGCTAACATGAAGAACAAAGACTAGATGGATTACATGAATTAGAAACTTCTGAAGATTTTGAGTTTCCACAATAATCAACATATCAACAAAGGCAGAACACATGTCTGAACAAAAGCAGAACACGTGCTAGTTTATGCATCCAAATCCATTCCATAACATAAATGATTTCATTAGCATACCAAAAGCTAGCTTATCTTGCTCAAGACTTGAACCTTTTCACACACGGCTAAACTCCAAATAAGCCCTTTAAATCCGATTCAATTCTATGGATTAAAGGTAACTAAAAATGAAACATTCTTACTTTGAATAACTACATTTGCTACTGGAGAAAGCTCAGGTATCCAATTGGATCCAGTAGATGGAGAATTCTCTATGTCTTCGACCCAAGCAACCATTTAAGTGAACTATCTTTAACCAAACCTTCTAGAACATCCCGAGTTCTGCTCGACATACTTAGATTTCTTCACCTGGTAAAATCATTTCAAATATTTAGGCAAACCCACTAATTTTATCACAAAAAATTGACTCCTAAACTCAAACTACAGAGACTATCATTGATCAAAATCTAACCTTTATTAGAAGTTTCAAGTTTCAACACAGAGATTACTCAACTCAAATCAAGAGACGAAAAGAAGTGAAACATATGTGAGCCTGACTAATTCATGAACAATTCTGATCAGATTCCAAAATTACAGAGAAGCGGAGGAAGTGAGACAGAGCGACGAAGATGGGTTAGGGTTTCAGCTATGTTTCAGCCACCGACATAAATATATGGTTTAGGGTTATCTGAGACGAGCGAAGAAGCTTGAGAATGAAAAGTTTATCGAATTGAAGAAGAAGATGAATCTGGGGATGTGAGCGAGAGTGACAAAGAGATGGTGGATCTGAAATCTAAAGCGAAATTGATAAAACCCAATAGATCTAGGGACGCATAATCAGAGGAAGAGAGTAAGAGTGAGGAGAAGGTAAGAATCGAGGAAGAGAGAGGTATCGGGGGAGAGAAATACGAAGGAGAAGAACATTGAGATTAATTAGGGTTTGTTTGTTCTTAAGAGTTTTTTATTTCTCCAAAAGAAAAAAAAAGCTTTTTCTTATTTTTGGTTAAGTGTGAGCGGTAATCGCCAAATATTTGATAAGTTTTCGCGGTCATTAGTGATTTTAGCTTTTCACTTTGCCATTATAGGGATTAGCGTTTCTGAAATGCTATAATATAGTTACAAATTTTCGAATACCATCTTTAATAGCAATTGCAAAATCCGTGCTATCGTAAAGTGCTATTAATGCCCATATTTCTTGTAGTGAGGGAGACAAACTTCTTAGTAACCAAGAACAAGGTTTACTTAGTTGTACCATTTTACTAGACATACTACAAGAACACAACTACAGAAAACGATTATCATCTTTTTATTAAGTTCCTTCATATCTTGTATCTTCTCCATCTTCATCAGTCTAACTTCTTCTTCAAGAACATCTACTTGAAAATCCAATTGTTCTATCTCATCCACCAATGCTTCATCCACCCACTTGAAAACATGGTTATCATTCTCAAGCTACATTAAGAAATTGGTAAAATAATAGGAAACATTACACAATATTAGGAAACGTTAATCAAACTAACACCCATAATCTTTACCTTCATTTGTGCCGCATACGCACACCTGTAGTAGCGAGGATACGGATTTGGTACCGATCTAGAAATTTTTTGAACAATTGGGGACTCACAATGACACTTTTTCGGAATTCCAGGAACCCTTACTCGGTTATAGGAGATCGAAGCTCCTGAATTGCAGCTCATTCTCAATTAGACTGAAATTGAACAAAAACCCTAGAGAAAACCTATGAAACGAGGAAGAAGGAGGAGAAGGAGAAAGAGAGGGATGGGAAGGGATAATGGGCTGATCCATTAAAAAGGTGGGAAGAGAGGGATTTTTCAAATTTTAAATTTGCCTCAGTTTTAAAAAACACGTGATACACATTGGCCAGGGAGAATCACACGTGGTGCCGCCAAAGGACACTAGTTGTTCTGGAGTATCAAGTTGTACCATTTTTAAAAGTTGTTATTTTCGGATTTTTTGATTCAAATTAGTTATACCCTAATTACAAGTAAAAATTTTTAGTTGTACACATGATTGAAGTTAATTTTGGTACGTTAACAACGTATTCATGCAATAATAAGCGTTAAAACATTATTATCTTAGCGTTCGACATTTTATGTGGTTTACATTAACAAAGTGACCCTTAAAGTGTAAGGTGTTTCATGAGAAACCAAGAATATGATGAGATCTATTCTCACAATTTTTTTTATTTTATATATTAATAATAACCAATGTTATAAAAGGTTATAAAAACATTGTTTAATATTTTTATCTATACAATATTTATATATTTTTGTAATAATAATATTTTAAAACAAGTTTTTAATAATATTTTAAACAAGTTTATAATAATATTCTAAATTGTTTATACTTGAAATCATTAATGATTCCATTTCCATTTGAGATCCCTTAAAGTTAATATAAAATATTAAATTCATATTGCTCTCAAGTTGTACCAAAACTCAAACAAGTTATACGTAGTTGTTCAAATCAGAGATTACATAAAATACTCTAAAATACAATGAACTTTGATGATGTTCTCCGGATGATGGAACCGTTTCTGTCCTTGTCTCTTTCTTACGCTTTTTCTTGCGTCCATGTTCTCCTGTCGACAGAATCCTTTTTGTTCGTTTACGTCCTTTCTTTATGACATACTCCTTCGGAAAGACAATCAAATCACGTACATGTGCAGGAACATCCCACATAGACATATTAGGAACAAGATAGATGGTCTTTGAATATGCCAATGACCAATTTTCCATCCAATAATACTTACTGCACAACTCATGCAATTGGATCTGAGTTCCTGTTTTTTTTTCCAGCTTCCAAGGCAGCAGCAATAGCATGCACACACGGATACTTGTCAATGTCAAATAGCTTGCAAGAGCAAGTTTTCTCAACCAAATCAACCACATAACTACTACCACCAACTACAGTCACATTATACTCAAGAAAATAGCTGTTTAGTTCAGTCACCGGCAAGAGAGTCGCTTCCACACATCTTATATGCATCAAATTCTCAACAAACGGTATTAACTTCTGCGTCCTTGGTGTCTCCAATGATATCTTCCTATATTTGTTAAACCATTCCGACAGTTTAGTAACCATCGCATCAATCATTGGTAATAGCGCGTAAGCCCTTACGTATCTGAAGACACCATTAATAGATTCAACTGTATTAGTGGTGTCTATGTTGTATCTTGCGCCTAGAAAATAACATCGCACCCATTTGTTCTGTCCAACAGTTCTATCAAGATAAGCACCTGCAGCAGGATATCTTTTGATAAAAGCAGCATAGAGTTTCTTGAACTCGGCCTCTGTATAAGCCTTAGCGCATTCCATGAACTTGGTCGCAACTAACTCTCTGTTCACGTTCTTACAGCTCAGTTTCACATTTTGGGACAAATGATATATACAATATCCATGGTCAGCCAACGGGTACACCTGCATTACTGCCTTGATGAGGCTTTGATTTCTATCAGAACAAAACACCAGTTCAGGACAATCAGGTACAACTGATTTCAACTTGCTGAAAAACCAAGTCCAACTTGCATCTTTCTCTCTGTCAACTACACCAAATGCAATCGGGTAATGGTGATGATCTGGATCTTGAGCTGTAGCAATGATACGAACTCCACCATATACAGTTTTAATACTGGTTGCATCCACAATTGTTGGGGTCGGATCCCACACACTTTCGGTAGGATCCACTTGGATCTGTCCACGTCATTATTACACATAATCCTCTCGGATTTCTAGATACTTTATTGGACTTGACCGGTTGGGAGTTCGATTCAGTTTACCAAAGGAGTTCGATCTTTACCAGTACGGAGTTCGCTCTTATTCAACATACAGTTCGCATAGAGAAAGACCGAAGCGAGGAGAATATTATTCGAGGCTCGCGGTAGCATCAAAGCACGGGAGTTCGGAGTCAGCAAGAAAGAGTTCGGAAGGCCCACGTGAAGTTCAAAACAAGTTCAAATTCAAGCCGTTTCGGTCAAAATGTAACTTATGTGATTAATGCGGATCAATATGATTACGAGTAGTAAATAGCCGCATTAATCATGTTTTCTCTATAAAAAACAACCTCAAACGCATGTGTTTGGGGAGAGACACGATCTTTTACTCCTTACTATCAAGCAATACTACATACTTTATCTCTGACAATTTCGCAAGGCTTTTTATATTTTCGTTCTTATAAAATTCCTTTATTTTATTCTTTTTTGGGTTAATTTCTCTTTCGAATTCTTATATTCATCCATTGATTTTAGAAGTTTTTCTCCACAAAAATACTTAAAGACAATCGAGTGTGAATCCTACATCCACATTTTGGCGCCGTTTGTGGGGAGTTACCACAAAACTCTTTAATCTCAAAATCTCTCTTTCTCAAACCAAGAAACTATGTCTGATCAACAAGCTTTGAGCGATGCAATAACCTCACTTAATCAGGCAACCGCTAGTCTGACCACTCAGATTGGTACACTCGCTGATGCCAACACCACTTTTAGTGAGAGGTTGAATTCAATCGAGCAAACCTTAACGAGTGTTCAAACCACCCATACAAATTTGTCAAACGCGCAGAACGTTGTTTCAAGCCGTTTAGATAATTTGTCCTCAGCGCGAACAACAACGTATCAGCGCAGGCTATTCGAGACTTCCCGCGCAAAATAGGACCAGGAATACTCAAACTCCTCCCGCAGGCCGTCCTGCTAGTGCTAGCAATCAGGCAGCCGTAGGAGATGGGTCCAACCCAACCGGGGATGAAATTCCCCAAAATCAGGGAAATCCTGCTATTGACGACGGACTCCTTATGGAAGATCCTGATGTCATCCTTTCAGATGATTTCGTCAAAGTTCGTCAAGAACTTGATGAAATGAAGTCGAAGTTTCATCAAGCGACCAGTTCGGCGCCTGAGATCGATCGAGTAATCGAAGAAACTCGACGAACACCGTTCACTTCGAGAATCTCGAACCTTCGGATCAAGGATTCTCGAAAGGTCAAATTACCAACTTATGATGGTAAAGGAGATCCTAAAAATCACCTCGCTGCTTTTCAGATCGCTGCTGGCAGAATTGATCTAGAACCAGACAAGGAAGATGCCGGATATTGCAAACTATTCTCCGAGAATCTATCCGGATCGGCTCTACTATGGTTCACTCAGTTGGAGCTTGGAACTATTGATAGTTTTAAGGAATTGTCCTCCGCATTCCTAAATCAGTATTCCATGTTCATGGAAAAGGCAACCTCTGATGCAGATCTTTGGAATTTAACCCAAGGTTAGAATGAACCACTTCGCAAATATATCGCTAAATTCAAAGAAGTGATAGCCAAAATTCCTGGGGTATCGCACGCTGCTGCCCTTTCTGCTTTAAGGAACGGACTCTGGCATGAATCCCGATTTCGGGAAGAAATCATCGTTAATCGTCCGAACACCATCCAAGATGCTTTATTTAGAGCTACTAATTGGATGGAGGCAGAAGAAGAAAAACTTAGCCTCGCTAAAAAGCATCGGCCAGCAAAATTGGTCGTTGGAAATCCAACTAAAAAGTTCGAACCAAAAGATCAAAAACGGTTCGGAGTTAATCCTTCTACTAATGCTGTAGGAAAACCCTCCCCAAGCAGCGGAAGATACAATTCTCCTAATACTTGGGTTAGAGATGAGAGTGCCTATTGCGATATTCATAGAGTAAACGGGCACTCCACCAAAGATTGTAGCGTACTGAAAAAGCACCTCACCGAACTTTGGGCAGCTGGAGAGCTCGCTAATTTTAATATTGAGGATTTTGTGGAATCTTATCATAAAGAAAAAGAAGATTCCGAAGCATCCAATCCTCCTGAAAAGAAACATAAGTCCAATGGGCCCGGAACTCCGAACACTCCTAAGAAAAGGATCGATGTTAACTATGCAGAGATTCGATTAGATCAATCAAAAGGCACAAGAAATCAGCAGCAATTCAAACCGCTGTGGGTTTTCAGTCAAATGAATAAACACCTTCTATTTCTTTTGATAATTCGGACACTCAAGGATTAACAGGACCTCATGACGATGCTCTTGTGATAACTTTAGATGTTGCGAACTTCAAAGTGACAAGGTGTCTAATCGATACTGGAGCTCGGTAGATCTCATATTTCTAAGCACTTTGCAAAGAATGGGAATCAGTAAAGCCGACATTATCGGTCCACCAGCACCATTGGTAGCTTTCACAAGTGACACATCTATGTCCTTAGGAAACATAAAACTACCAGTACTTGCCGCAGGGGTTCCAAAGATCGTAGAATTCATTGTTTTCGACCGACCGGCCGCTTACAACATAATTCTCGGAACTCCGTGGATATACCAAATGAAGGCTATACCTTCAACGTATCACCAATGCGTGAAATTTCCTACTCCTGGAGGAATCGAAACCATCTGAGGAGATCAGGAAACATCGCGTTCTTGCTACCTCATGGGACATCGTTTAAAGCTCAAATAGCAATTAATGATAAACGCGAAGCAAGAAAGCACCTCGTGTTACCCAAGTGGTCTCAGTTCGAATGAAGTTACCACAGAAATTGAAATTGATTCCGAACTTCCAGATCGAAAAGTAAAAATCGGTACTACTTTAGATTCAGAAATCAAAGATCAATTGATAACATTCCTAAAGGAAAATAAACATACTTTCGCCTGGTCGGCAAAAGATATGCCTGGAATCGACAAAAGTATCATTACCCATGATTTAAACGTCGATCCCAGTTTTAAACCAATAAAGTAGAAAAGAAGAAAACTGGGTCCTGACCGAGCTCAAGCGGTCAATGACGAAGTTGATAAGCTTTTGAAAATTGGTTCAATTAGGGAAGTAAAATACCCGGACTGGTTAGCAAACCCCGTGGTAGTCAAAAAGAAGAATGGAAAGTGGAGAGTATGTGTCGATTTCACCGACATTAACAAAGCATGTCAAAATGACAGTTTTCCTCTCCCTCATATCGATCGGCTCGTAGAATCAACGGCCGAAAATGAACTCTTAACATTTATGGATGCATTTTCTGGATATAATCAGATCATGATGAATCCCGAAGATGAAGAGAAAATATCCTTCATAACAGATAGAGGAATCTACTATTATAAAGTTATGCCATTCGGTTTAAAAAATGCCGGGGCAACATACCAACGTTTAGTTAACAAAATGTTTGCAAAGCATTTGGGCAAAACGATGGAAGTTTATATAGATGACATGCTCGTAAAATCTCTTAAGAAATCCGAGCACATCACACATCTTGAGCAGTGTTTCAAAATTCTGAACGAGTTCGGATGAAATTAATCCAGCTAAATGTCTTGGCGTGCCTTCTGGAGAATTCCTAGGGTACATAGTCACAGAAAGAGGAATAGAAGCAAATCCTAATCAGATTAACGCTTTCCTCACAATGCCTTCGCCAAGAAACATTAAAGAGGTCCAACGATTGACGGGCAGAATTGCTGCATTAAATCGTTTCATCTCGAAATCTACCGATAAATGTCTCCCTTTTTATCAAATTTTGAAAGGGAACAAAAAATTTCGGTGGGATGATCAATGCGAAGCAGCATTTGGTCAACTCAAAACTTATCTGTCAACACCGCCGATTCTCTCAAAACCTGAATCAGATGAGAAACTTTATCTTTACATTTCAGTTTCTAACCATTCCGTAAGTAGGGGTTTTAGTTCGAGAGGACCGAGGTGAACAAAAGCCAATTTTCTACATAAGTAAATCTCTTACTAGTCCAGAAACGAGATATACCATGATGGAAAAATTAGCTTTAGCAGTAGTCATATCTGCTAGAAAACTAAGACCTTATTTCCAATCTCATCCGATAGAAGTTTTAACTTCTCATCCACTTCGCTCAATTCTTCACGGTCCAAGTCAGTCCGGTAGATTGGCGAAATGGGCAATCGAACTCAGTGAGTACGATATAGAATACAAAAGTCGAACTAGCGCAAAGGCACAAGTTCTGGCTGATTTCCTAACCGAACTACCTTTAGAGGATGGAATCCTTGTCGAAACAGACTCTACATGGAAATTACATGTAGATGGCTCTTCTTCTAAACAAGGATTTGGAATCGGTATAAGGCTCGAAACTCCGACAAAGGAAATAATCGAACAATCATTTCGATTAATGTTCCCGGCTTCGAATAATGAAGCGGAATACGAAGCTCTCTTAGCAGGACTTCGGCTTGCTCTTGCAATTGGAGAAGAAAAAATAATAGCTTATTGTGATTCTCAGCTAGTTGTAAAGCCAGTTCGCTGGAGATTACGAAGCTAAGGCTCCTCGAATGGAAGCCTATCTTTCGGCTGTCAAAAAATTAGCCGGAAAATTCAAAGAATTCGAATTAGTTTGAATACCTAGAGGAGAAAACACTTCGGCAGACGCTTTAGCTGCCCTAGCTTCTACCTCAGATCCCGAGCTCAGACGAGTTATCCCAGTTGAATGTATTTCTTCACGAAGTATTTCAGTTGAAGAAA